AACAGCTTCAACTCTTCTGGGAAGGCTGTCCACAAGGTTTAGGAGTGTGTCTATGGGAATGTTTGACCATTCTTCCAGAAGCACATTTGTGAGGTCAGGCACTGATGGATGAGAAGGCCTGGCTCAGTCTCCACTCTAATTCATCCCAAAGGTGTTCTATCGAGTTGAGGTCAGGACTCTGTGCAGTCCAGTCAAGTTCCTCCACCCCAAACTCGCTCATCCTTCTTTTGTGGACCTTGCTTTGCGCACTGGTGCACAATCATGTTGGAACAGGAAGGGATCATCTCCAAACTGTTTCCACAAAGTTGGAAGCATGAAATTGTCCAAAACGTTGGTATGCTGATGACTTAAGAGTTCCCTTTAATGGAACTAAGTGGATAAGCCCAACCCCTGAAAAACAACCCCACACCATAAGCCTCCTTCCACCAAACTTTACACTTGGAACAATGCAGTCAGGCAAGTACCGTTCTCCTGGCAACCACCAAACCCAGACACGTCCATCGGATTGCCAGACAGAGAAGCAAGATTCATTTTTCCAGAGACCACGGCTCCACTGCTCTAGAGTCCAGTGGTGGAGTGCTTTAAACCACTGCATTCGACGCTTTGCATTTATGATGTAAGACTTGGCTCGGCTATGGAAACCCATTCCATGAAGCTCTCTATGTACTGTTGCTGGGCTAATCTGAAAGCCACATGAAGTTTGGAGGTCTTTGGCTATTGATTCTTCAGAGAGTCGGTGACTTCTGCATGTGCTGACCCCGCTCTGTCATTTTATGTGGCCTACCACTTTGTGGCTGAGTTGCTGTTGTTCCCAGTTGCTTCCACTTTGTTATAATACCACTAACAGTTGACCGTGGAATATTTAGTAACAAGGAAATTTTACGGATGAACTTATTCCACCTTTCACATTACCACACTTAAATTCACTGAGCTCCTGAGAGCGACCCATTCTTTCACAAATGTTTGTAGAAGCAATCTGCATGCTTCGGTGCTTGATTTTATACACCTGTGGCCATGGAGGTGATTGGACCACCTTAATCCAATGATATCAAGGGGTGTCCCAATACCTTTGGCAATATAGTGTATCTTCTATTTACAGCTGTAAAAAGAATTCCTTCAGAGAAATATCCATTAGGTCTAATTATTTGCGATCGTCAAAACACGGTCGTGTATCTGAAGCCAAAACATTTTTTTTCTAATTTAATAAAGAGTGGTGAAGGGTTAGAACTCCTGTCAGGTTTTTATTGCTGTGTTTGTCCCCATTAGGGAGATTCATCTATCTATTCATCCTGTGGTTCACTGCAACCAGGACTATAAGAAGAGGAATATTAAAACGTTTTCTGCAATGAACCCTAACGTGACAAAAATCGTCATGCACCATTTTTGACAATACAATGCACTACCATGATTGTGTTTTGTTAAAAAATAATGGCACCTGAAAACATTTATTGTGTGTTACCATGATGCAAAAATGTAAATAGACCCTTAAGGGCTCAAGATCAGCGACATCACACTTAGGTGCACATAACATGTGCTGTAACAATCAGGGGCGGATTGACAAATCATGGGGCCCCCGGGCAATAGGGGAGCATAGGGCCCCTGTGTCCTTGCCCAAACTCAAAAAAGCCTATGAAAAAGGTACCAGGGGCATGTCATGGGGCCCCCTACTGACCCCGGGCCCTCGGGCAGTGCCCAAATGGTCAGTCTGCCTCTCGTAACAATGTATCCCAGTGCTTGTCTTTTTTTCCAGTTTTTAACTTCAATTTCTATATATAGGTGCTTGACTTTATACACTTATGGCCATGGAGGTGATTGGAGGTGTCCCAATACGTTTGGCAATATAGTATATATATATATATATATATATACACACACACACAACTAGGGGCTAATTTTCTTTTTTTTTATTCTTTTAGAAATGTCCCACAACCTGTTAAAAAAAGAGTAGTTCTTCAAATATCACCTTCAGTCCAGAGCTGTCCCTATAGTATATCTTTTTTGATACTACAAGTATTCAGTCTTTTGGAATGAATGATGTCTAGTGTTACTCAATAAGGAAGACTAAGAAATTATTATAAGTGCAGGAGGTCATGGATTTGCCCCTTGGCGGGGCATCACCATGGTGCCTTGCTTTCACTGTGTAAATGCGCAGAGTGCTGACATCTTTATGTTAGCATTGAACTCTGCATCACTGAGGAGAATCCAGCCCAAAGAGGAAAAGAGGGAGAGAACCCTGCAGCATCACTAAACCATCCTGAAGACTTCAGAAAGCTAATTATAGCTTACAGTCTGTGAGAGCCAGGAATGGACTGGCCAGCAATGGTGGGGACTCACCTGCCTTTTGATCTGCAGTACCAGGGCTGGCCAGGGGTGCTCCCAGCAATCAGAGACTCAACCTTTCACCCAGCTAAACCTGGAACTGATGATGCTGGGGTATTTAAGGGATGGCCAGACCCACAGACTTGCCTTGGTGTTGTGTTTTCTCTTGGGCCCTGTATCCTGTTCCTGCTCTCTGTTCCTGTCTGATTCTCTGCTACCTGTCCTGATCCCTGGCTTGTGACCCTGACCATCCCTCTGCTTGACCCTCTGTACTACGCTGCTTGCTACCTGCTGAACCTGGCCTGTGACCCCGACCATTCTCTGCTTGCTCCCCCTGTACCTACTTGCCCAATTGATATTGACCCGGCCTGCCTGACGACGCTTGCTTATATGTACTGTTATCTGTGGGTGGTTTGGTTTGGTTTGTTTGCACTGTATTATGTTTAGTATTGCACTGCGTTTATGTTTGTATGGTTAGTGTTAATAAATTGTATTGTTTATCACATATCTGAAGTCTGCGTTTCCCTGCATCAGTCACACACCTCTGGTCATACCTGGGAGCCCTGACAGAGAGCCAGAAATCTTGCTTGTTTGTAGGTGACCAAATACTTATTTTCCACCATAATTTGCAAATAAATTCTTTCCAAATCAGCGAATGTGATTGTCTGGCTTTTTTTTCTCATTTTGTCTCTCATAGTTGAGGTCTACCTATGATGCCAATTACAGGCCTCTCTCATCTTTTTAAGTGGGAGAACTTGCACAATTGGTGGCTGACTAAATACTTTTTTTCCCCACTGTATCTAGGAAAGAATCCAGGCCTTTTTTAAAGCAATCCACAGAACCAACTCTTGTGGACTGAGGACCATCCAGCTCAAAGAAGAGGCAAGGAGGGAGAGAACTCCTCAACTACCACCCTCTACGCCGATGACACGCAAATCTACCTCTCTACCCCTCGCCACACCCCTTCAGTCTCCGCCCGAATCACCCGCCTACTGAACGACATATCAGACTGGATGCCACTCCACTTCCTCAAATTAAACCTTTCCAAAACTGAGCTCCTAATTTTCCCCCCAGCCCACGACCCCCCTCCCCACCCTCTCCATCACGATCAACAACGCCCCATCAGTCCCACCTCGCAAGCCAAAGTCCTAGGTGTCACTCTAGACTCAAATCTGTCCTTCCAACCCCATGTCCAATCGCTGGCAAACTCATGTAGGCTCCACCTCAGCAACATCTCTAAAATACGTACGTTCCTAACCCCAGACACTACTAAACAACTCGTTCACTCCCTTATTATTTCACGACTCGACTACTGCAACTCCCTCCTCACCGGCCTACCTCATCACAGACTATCCCCGCTTCAGTCAATCCTGAACTCAGCGGCCAGACTCATCCACCTTACCAACCGCTCTGCATCTGCCACCCCCCTCTGTCATTCCCTCCACTGGCTTCCGATTGCCCAACGCATTAAATTCAAACTACTAACATTGACGTACAAAGCCATTCATAGCATTGCCCCAAACTACCTCACCGACCTGATACCCAAATACCACCCAACCCGTACTCTTCGCTCCTCACAAGAGCTCCTACTTTCTAGCTCCCTGGTCTCCTCCTCCCACGCCCGACTGCAGGACTTCCCCCATCTTCTGGAACTCACTACCCCGATCCATTAGACTGTCACCTACCCTCCTCACCTTTAGGCGCACCCTGAAAACCCACCTCTTCAGAGAAGCCTACCCCACCCTCACATAACAGCCGATCTCCTCCACTCCTCCCACCACTCCATCCCCCACAGCCACTTCCTCCTGTACCACTATCCCCTCCCTCCTATATTGTAAGCTCGAAAGAGCAGGGCCCTCGAACCTCTCATATATTGTCTTGTTACTGTATTGTCTCATGTACTGCCCCCCACTATATTGTACAGCCCTGAGCAAACTTTTTGGCGCTATATAAACACTGTATAATAATAATAAACCCTGTGGCATCACCTAACCATCCTGAAGACTTCAGAAAGCTAATCATAAAAACTGCATAACATACATTACTTGCAGGAGACCTCTGGGAGGAGGGGAAGAGGCCTGGGGAGAACAGAGCCCAAAGTTGAACTTAACATTTTCACAGCTCTTACTGTAAAGAAACCTTTCCGTATTTGGAGATTAAATCTTTTTTCCTTCAGACGTAAAGAGTTCCCCTTTTTCTTTGTGGTTTATGGCTTTTCCAAACCCCCGTAACTGAAATGTTTGCTGGTCAGTTTGGCCTGATAAGGGAAATAAAAAAATAACAGATCTACTGGCAGGATCAATAAGTAATAAAATGTTGCTGATGGGGGACTCAAAAAAAAAACTGCATACAAGTACTATCAACAGACTGAATAACATATATCATTAACTTTAGTTCCACTTTAACAATTAATGATGTGTATGTGTGTTGCAATTAATACCTTTAAATAATGAGCACATCTCAGAATACCTTAGAAGTAGCAGATCATCACAAAAGGCCCTGAAATGTGAATATTACTCACTTTTTTATTTCAGACTGGCTGACAATATTATATGTGTTGCTTATATTTAATTCAATTAATAATTTCAACAAAACAATAAAAATATATTTTACATATTGTGGGTATTGTCTGTCCATCTTTACAATTTCCCAATCCAGTTGTCTTTGTATGTTATTAGTCTCTAAGAATTGCATTCCTCGCAGTGACAAGAAAGAATATAGCGGTATGTAGCTGTAAGACGAAGGCCTCCAGAACAGCGCAGACGGATGGCTTTTAACTTGGAAGTCTGAGGTCTGCAGCAATAGCATGTGGAACGAAAGGGCTGCTTTAAAACAGTGCTGAAGGAGACCAGAGGGTCAGAACGAGACGTTTGACTGCAGCGTCCTTCACAACGAGCAAGCAACACCATCTGCAGGGAAAAAAAAAAAGATATAATGTTTAAATATCTAAACAGATTAGAAATACTGAAAGGGCAATTGTACTTTGAAAGAAGAGTCTAAAAAGGCTATCTACAAACATCAGATGCAGTAGTTACCGTATTGCACTGCCCTGACCATTTGCTTTTTTTTTGGAGGGTAGCATAAAAGGGGGAAGGGTAATTAACAACTTTGGTACTAGAGCAATTTTTTTATTTGTTGTACACATGAAAAATCTGCATTTTTTTGCTAGAACATTTACTTAAACACCAAGTACATTGTATGTTTTCTGAAAGTAAAGGCCCGGTAGGATAAAAAAAAAATAGTAGTTGCAATTTTTTTATTTAGCATGATTTGTGCAACTGTTTATCAAACACAAATTTTCAGAAAAAAAATATAGTAAATGAATTTTAGTACAAACACACACAATAATATACACATTTTTTGTAAAAAAGAAAAAAAGATGGGGTTGTATTGAGTAAATAGAAACCAAAAATGTCAAGTCTTAAAATTGTGGGCTCTCATGATATTGAAAAAATCTCCATAGGTGACACTTTAAAACCCTTTACAGCTCATCAGAGCTTTTAGAGTTTAGAGTTAACTGTGAGCTGTGGTGCTAGAATGATTGGTCCCACTCCAACATATATGGGGATACCTCTAATGTGTAGTGCAATTGTGGTTTGCATACATCTGTGCACCCTATGCTGCATAAGCATTTGTAGGTGGGTACAGGGTAATGGGGGTTGTTTAATTCTATTTATACATTTTATTATAATTTTTTTAAACTTTGATTTAATGTAACGTTATTGCTATTACAATGGGTTAACAGTTCCTCATGTGATAGCATTGAGCAGGTGAGAGGTAACTTTTATGGAGTCATTTGGGTTCCCTCAATGACTTCCAATGTCTCCCTTGACCTCGAAAGCAACTAGCCAAGCACAGTTCATGCTTGTTTGGATGCTTTCGCTGAAAATGAGTAAATCATCATCACTTCTGCCTTCATTTGCTGCAGAGGAGATCGAGTAACAGATGTTCCTTGGTCTCCTCCCACCTGGCATCCTGAAGCCAGCTGATGTGGTTCCAGGCTCCATCTAAGAGCAAGAGAGCCTAAGAACCAGGTGGGAGATCCAGGCAGAAGAAGCCACACAGCCAAGAAGCCAAGAAGACACATAGAAGAAGCCACACTTTTGCTTTACAGCCAGGAGCCAGTTGAGGAAAACAGGCACAAGCTGATGGCTACTACTGCAGTCATCAGCTTTTACATAACCCTTCACTCTTTGGACTGAAATGGTCAAAGATTATCTAGACTAAAGAACATATACAGTATATAACATTTTCCACCTTGTTAGTCCTTAAATGTGGTGGCTGAATTTTTTTTTTCTTTTTTCCATTTTTATTACCTGGTGATCCTGTCAGTAATACAAGTCCTGTCCTAGGGTGATGATTACTGCAGTGCATGTAGGAGCAGTGTTGTCACTGTAGGACAAGAAGTGTGTTAGGGACTACTACTACAGATCACCTCCCTCTCTTCTCTTCACTATCACACTATGTTCTGTAGTCCACAGAGATAAACTGAGAAGGGCTGATAAGACTTCGTGAATTGATGCAGGGTGTACGGGACACAGGACAGCATTGGATTTCTGCCAGGATCAACAGCATTCATCAAATAGTTACAACAACGAGCTCTCAATGGTATATTTATTAAACCAAAAAGAACAAATCAGATCCTTGTTAGGGTTTACATGCTCTTGAATGTCATACAGTTGCCCTACAAACCACCAGTAAACATACCCTTCAAGTGTTGTTTTCACAGCACTCACTGACTGTTATGTAAGTTTCAGGAATATAACTGAAGATTCAGGGGACATTTATTAAGAAAATAGTTGATGCATCTGAAAATGTGGTACATTTTACGTATCTGTCATTGACAGACTTATCATACCGTTGCAGTTCAGTGTAAAAATCATTTGAATACATGGCAGGCAGCTTTGCTACACTTTTGCGAAATTGCCACAGATATATATATATATATATATATATATATATATATATATATATAATTTTTTTGTTTGTTTATTTGAGATTTTTTTCTTTAGATTATTTCTAGGTGATAGAATATGGTAAACATCACTTCAAGACTAAATTGAGAGAAAATAAACTAAAAAAACTAATTAATCCAATTTGTCCTATGTTTTGCTGAATTCCTTGCAAGCTTCTTCCTCCAAACCCCCTCCTCCCATCACCACTGCTGTAATATTCTGGTACGGCAGGGTTAATAGAACAGAGAGAAATGTGACAGGTACTCATCAAGAGTGCCTGACTATACCTGACCTTTCTGCCGAGCTCTGCTGTAGCTACAGCTTATATGAATGAAATGTGATATACAAATAAAGGACGGGCAAATGATTGAAATATAGGACTGATAAATGTAGGACTAATGCCTAGTACGCACAATGAAAAAATCGAATGATTAATACTGTCTTCGGAGCAATTTTCCGATAATCTGATTATTAGTACACAGCTTTCGAGAGTCGATCACAACAGTTCAAATTATCCAAAGAGACAAAAGCGGAAAATTTTTCCGTACGAAAACAGTACAGTTTTTGTTTAATCAGTATGGTATTTTGCCTATAGAAGACTAAGCATGACCAAGACCATGCATGCTCAAAAACAAAAGAATACATTACAAAACAATACTTGACATTATCATGATACTTTGTATTGTGTGTTACAAGAATTTTTGTATGTTTAGTAACCTATTTCTGTTCGACATGAGACTAGCTTGAAAAAAAAAAAACAGAATATCATTTCGATATCATGTGTACGAGGCTTAAGAAACAAAGCAATTCTTACAGAGATAGAAACAACTGCAAATACAGTTCCAAGAGTCACAGATATAAATACATACTGTAAGTAAGCCACGTACCATCTCTAAGTTGGTTTCGACATGGATCTTCATATAAATACAAATCAAATGGAAATGCACAATGCAGGTGTCTTTATTGTAAAACCTCTACTTTTAATAAAACCGCTCTATTTCTGTCAGGGGTAGATAATGCTCCAGGAAACAATTTTCATTTATAAATACGGGCTTGTCCTACGGAAAACTATGAACCATCTTTACCTATCTCATTAATGGTGGAAAATAGATACGAACAGCACAAAAAAGGCTTATCAACTGAAATCATATGAACTAAATTCCTTCACTCTTCCTATGTTTTTTTTAAAGTTATAGCAATGATAACAGATAATCTATCCACTTCCATGCTTATGGCAGGAAATGTCACACCTAATTTATTGGAAACACTATATTTTTAGATTTAAATATGTGTATGCTGTGCATTTTTACTACATGAAGTGAATTATGTCATGCTGCAGCTCTTAAAGTGAGCCTGATCTGGATCTAAATGTTTTAAGCTACCAACCATACTGAAGTGCTGATACCTTGTCATATCTGTGTAAGACCCCATTCACATCAGAAGACAGAAGGTGGAAATGCCACCCAATGGAACCCAGCCTCTATATAGAGAGATAAAGATATGGCTTCAGCCTGAACACATCCTGGCCATGCTCCTCTGACATGTTTCACCCCGCCTATGGGGCTTAATCATAGAAAGGTGGGGTGGAACATGCCAGAGAATCATAGCCAGGAGGAGCTCAGGCTGAAGTATTTTCTTTATCTCTGAGTATAGTGGCTGTGTTCTGGTGTGCAGCATTTCCACCCTCTGTCTTTTGATCTATTTCAGCTAGCCTGGATGAGCTTGTTTGAATGCCAGCATACGATCTGTGCTTTGGACTTCAGGGGGAAGTTTTGCAGTTTTTTTAGATCCCATTCACAGTTGCGAATAAGACCATTTGTGATAAGCTGTGGGAGACCAAACAGGGGTTCTCTGTGGTCAACTGCGAGAAAGAATCCCCTTTGACAGCAATGGCAGGGCGATTGTTCCCACAGAAATTCATGGTCAGGGGCGGACTGACCATTGGGGAACTCGGGCACTGCCCGAGGGCCCGGGGTCAGTAGGGGGCCCCATGAGATGTCCCTGGTACCTTTCACAGGCTTTTTTGGGTGTGGTTTGAGTGTGGGCGAGGACACAGGGGCCCCATGATCCCATATTGCCCAGGGGCCCCATGAGTTGTCAGTCCGCCCCTGTTCATGGTTGATTACATACATTGACTTATGCAGAGGTTACCTGCACATTATTGGCCCTTGACACCGAACGTCTGTCTCCAGAGCTTATCATCCACAGGTAACCACTACATGAGCAACTACATGCAATCAACGATGAATAGCTGCAGGAGCTATCAGCCTCACATTTCTTTTAATAGAGCATCATTCCTGCAGCTGAGTGCAGGGAACTTCCACTGGGTCTCCTGCAGATAATCACAAACGGCCCCATCTGCAACTGTGAATGGGGCCAGAGCCTTGTTATTCCCATTTCTCTGTGGACCACCCTCTGGATATGAATTAGTTTTAATTATGCTTAGTTATAGAATAAATAAAAAATAATATGTAATTCAAATATTTTTTCCACTTTATAGGTTTACTGCAGCTTTAGCTAGGATTAGACTACAGAACAAGCCTCTGATCTGCACTTAGGCTCTACGAGCCATGTTTGTGCGGGCACAGCAGCCCACTTATTTGAATGAGCTGCAGCGCCTGTGGTTCATGCAGGAAAAATGTTCCTGCAGCATTTTTGAAATGCAACATCAGGGAAATTGCATAGTGCCATTTACCTGCTTGCTGATCACTACCTTATCCTGTTCCTTGTATACTGTACCCTGTATCTTGGTATATCTCTGCTTCCCTTGTTCCCAGTCTGGATCATGCTCTGTTTATGTCAGCTTCCCTCCGTATTTACATAATGTATATACACTGCTCAAAAAAATTAAAGGAAGACTTTTTAATCAGAGTATAGCGTCAAGTCAATTAAACTCCTGGGATCCCCCTCAAGCAGAGAGGGTTGTTAATCAGTTTCAGCTGCTTTGGTGCATT